TTTTGAAGCCTCCGTCAAGCCGCACCTCCTAATGTTTTTACACAGTTAGCCAGCTGGGGACTAAGCATGCACACCTGCGAGCCCACAGGGACCATGCTCATTCAGACCTCCACAGGGGCTCACTGAAGTGCTTTCGGCTTTCTTCCCTGAGCCCTCCATCTTAGAGCCACCCACTTCTCTCTAGAGCACTGGTTGCTTAGGTGCTAAATACAAAAGCTACTGCCGATGCTAATAAAATCTTCACTAGAATGGCCTTTAATTTATTTTTATTTCATTTTGTTTATTTGTGTGTGTAGCTATGCCTGCTTGTACATGTGTGGGCTGTGCCTGCCTGCATATGGAGGCCAGAACTTGTCGTCAGGAGTCTCCCTCAATCTCTTCTCCACTTTATTATTTCTTTTTCATTTTCGTGTGTGTGTTTGTGTGTATGAGTGCATGTCAAAGTGATGCCAAAGATTCCTTGTCTCTACCATCTAAGCACTGCAATTACAGTGGGTTCTGGGGCTGTGCCTGCCTCTGGCTCAGTAGCTGCTTAGCCACCTCCCAACCTTTGCCTTATATTTTGAGACCAGCTCTCTTCACTGGCCCAGAAGCTGACTGTTTCATTTAGACTGGCCGGCCACAAGTTCCCAGATGTGCGCTGGATTTTTTTAATGTGCGCTGAGGGTCTGAACTCAGCCTCTCAGGCTTGCACAGTAGGCATTTTACCCTTGAGCCATAGCCCTAGGCCCCAGTCAATAGGGCTGTCTTAGGGTTTTATTGACTCCATGACCATGGCAACTCTTAGCAAGGACAACATGTAATTGGGGCTGGCTTACGGTTCAGAGGTTTAGTCCGTTATTGCCACTGTGGGAAGCATGGCAGTGTGCAGGCGGACAAGGTGCTGGAGGAGGAGCTGAGATTCTACATCTTGATCAGAAGGCAGCAAATCTTTAGGAGGCCTCAGTGCAGCCATCGCTGGTTGCTGCTGAAGCAGTCTTAGCTCCAGAATGCTAGCTCAGCCACAGCTGTTTGAAAACAGCCTGTGTTTGACTGGTTGCCATCAAAGCCTCTGTGAACTCTCGGTGACCCTGTAGCTCTCACCCCGGCCAGAGGAGGAGCACTTCTCCAGGTGGCCCAGCAGGAAGTCTGTGTGATTGGTTCATGTGTGCTCCTTTGGTTGCATGAGGGGCTGCCCTGATTGGTGCAGAAACCCTTTGCAACCATTAACTGGATGAGGAGGCTGTTTCCCACTGAGTCAGCCAGGAGATACCCTCCTGTGTAGGCTCCCAGAAGTTATAGCATTAAGCCCATGTTTAATTCACTTCCCCCCACCCCCTCCAGGCTTTCTCTGTGGAGCTCTGGCTAATCTAAAACTCACTTTGTTGACCAGGCTGGCCTCGAACTAACAGAGATCCACCTGCCTCTGCCTCCCAAGTGCTGGGACTAAAGGTGTGCGCCACCACCACCTGGTCTGATTTGCCTGTTTTTGTTGTTGCTGTACTTCTAGAGGTTGTTTTGGTATGATTGTTGTTCTGGTTTTGTGTCACAGGGTCTCAAAATAACTTGGGCTAGCCTTGTACTCACTGTATAGCCAAGAACAACAAAGTTCAAATTCTCCTTGCTTCCTTCTCCCAGGGGCTGGAATTCAGGAGTGCACCACCACCCCAGAGGGCGGGGTATAGGAGGCAGTTGCTAGAGAGATGGCTTCGGTGGTTAAGAGTTCTTCCATAATATTGGAGCTAGAGTTCCCTGCACCATGTCACGTGGCTCACAACCACCTATAATACAGCTACTGGGGAGCCAATGCCTCTGGCTGACACACACCTGCACAGCTATGGACATTGGTTCTCTTTTTGTCCACCATGGACTCCAGGAACTGAACATTCATCAGTCTCACTGGGCAAATGCCTTTCCCCAGTGGGCTATCTCACTGGCCCTGCTTTTGATACCTATTATCACAAGAGCTTGATAACATGAGAAGGTGGGTTTGGCAAAAGAGGAGCCATGAAGATAGCAGCAGCAGCCACAGAAGGGTGCTGAAGAGCTCCAGACTTGATGGGGGTGGGGAGTCAGAAACAGGGGGGAAGAGAGCAAATGATGGGGACAGTGAGGACCATGAAGAGCTGGAGGCTAGGCTCTGGTCACTGGAAAATTTGCAGGGAGCTGCTAAGCCTCAAAGGCCAAGAGACTCTGCCACCCTGGCCCTGAGAATTGTTTCACCAGCTCCTGCCATGGACTGGTGCCTGGACCTGAGGCTGCCAGGACCTGAGCCTGGAGCGGTGACCCTGACCGCTGTAGGGCCGAGGGTTGCAGCCTCTGAGATGCCACTATTGGAGCTGCTGCCGCTGCTCCACTCACTGCTGCTGGAAGCTGAGGATTCCAGGGGCCTCCACGGCCTCACGTGCTGCTGTGCTGGCAGTTACAGCTTTTTTGGTGAACATCAACCTGTAACCCAAATGCCTGGAACTTTAAGTCTCTGTTTCTACAGTCTGGAACAGTAGACCCCTGTCTCCTACATGTTAGAGCCATCAGCCTCTGGCTCTAGTCTGCCTGTCTAGGCCCTAGACCTTGGGCATTTGGGGACCGGGACTATAGCCCTGGAGACTAATGTCGCTTACTCCTCCATTCTTTCCAGCTGGAGCAAAGGGGCCACCAGCCGACTAGTGATGTTCTGATTTGTTTGGTTTTTGTTGTCGTTTTGAAATGAGGTCTCACTGTATTATCCTGGTTGGCCTGGAACTCTGTTTAGACCAGGCTGGCCTTGAATACACTTTAGCTCCACCTGCCTCTGTTCCCTTGAGTGCTGGAATTAAAGGCATGTGTCACCATGCTTAATTGGTGTTTTTCTTTTTTTTTTTTTTTCTTCCTTTTTTTTTTTTTTTTTTAAGATTACCTTAAATTTTATGTGTGCATGCATGAAAACCACATGCATACAGGTGCCTCTGGACACCAGAAGAGAATGTCAGAGTCCCTTCAACTGGAGTTACAGGATGTTGTGAGCACCTAAGAAGGGTGCTGGAAATGGAATCCACGTCCTCTGCTGGAACAGTGAATGTTCTTAATCACGAGCATCTTTCCAGCACCTTTGGTGTGCTTTTTTTTTTTTTCTTTTAAAGAGATGGTCTTGTTTAGTTTTGTAGAATGGCCAGGAACTCCAGAGTTCAGGTGATCCTCCTGCTTCAGCCTCCCGAATATAGGGTTTCTGCCTGTGCCACCACTACATCTAGTTGCCCTTAGGATTTTACTAAACTTCATTATTCATGAGGTGTTGGTTCTGAAAGTGTTACCAGCTTAATTCATAAGCCTGAGATGGCCCATATGTTAGGGGTTTCTTGAATCACTTCTTATTGATTTGCTCCGGGGTATACACATTTCTGTATGATTACATTTCATTGATAGATTGGATCCTCAAAGAAACAAGCCATTTAGCCAGGTGCAGTGATGCATGCCTTAAGCTAGCACTTGGGAGTTAGAGGTAAGCAGATCTCTGAATATGAGGCCAGCCTGGTCTACATAGTGAATTCCAGGACAGCCAGAGCTACACAGAGAGACACTACCTTGAAAAAAAAAATGAAAAAAGAAATAAGCAATTTTAAAATGTATTATTATTATTTGTATTTGTGTGTATGCATGCCAGGATTTATGCACACAGGCCAGAAGATATTTTTGTGGAGTTGGTTCTCTTCTTTCACCTTTAGCTGGGTTCTAGGGATTGCACTCAGGTCTCCAGATTTACATGGCAAACACCTTTGCCAGCTGAGCTACCTTGCTAGCCCCAAATAAGCCATTTTTTAGACAATTATTTATTTATTATTTATACAAAGTTTATTCACTTTGTATTCTCAGGCTGTGGCCCCCTCCCTCATCTCCTCACAACCCCACCCTCCCTCCCTCTTTTCCCTCTATGCCCCTCCAACTGTCCACTGATAGGGGAGATCCTCCTTCCCTTCCATCTGATCCTTGCCTATCAGGTCTTCTCAGGATTGATTGCATTGCCTTCCTCTATGACCTGGCAAGGCTGCACTCCCTCAGGGGGAGGGGATTAGAGAGCCAGCCACTGAATTCATGCCAGAGAAAGCCCCTGCTTTCCTTATTAGGGACCCCACTTGGAGACAGAATCTATGGGCTACAACTGAGCTGGGGTGTTAGGTCCTCTCTACAGTCCTTCACTCTACTGAAGGTCCCCGAATAAGCCATTTTAAGTGTAAGCAGTAATCTGTTTCTCACATGCCAATTATTGTAATCATTTTCAATTTTTATTAGTTATCAGCAATTTAATGTTTTAGTAATATGTCACAGTTATATTGATTTGATTTTTTTTTTCACTGTTGGTTTAGAGCAGAGTTCTGTAAACTGCCATTTCCTTCAGTCACTGGGTTCATTAGCTGTTAGCATTCCGTCTTGACTGCAGGTCATCCTGGTCCTGAGCTGATCATTCTGCAACTGCCTATTCTGTTACTGAAATGAAGAGTCAGCTGGCTCCTTCATCTCAGCTATCTAACCCCAGGCACAGTGCCTAGTCCTGGTGAGAGGCCTGCAGAAGGAATTCTTCCTGGGCACCAGGCCCCTCCTCCTCCTAGGAGACACTGGGATTTAGGATCTTTAGGTTTCTTTTGGCATTCACCTCACCTATCAAGGAGGTCCACTGAGGACAGAGCATCCCATGGTTTTCAGATGTGACCGCAGAAGACTTTGCTTGCCTTGCCTGGTGGAGGAGGCAGGCATCACCTGCACAGGTAGAGACATGATGAAGGCAGGGCCAAAGGCAGTCCTGATGGGACAGTCCCAAATTGTCCCTGTTCTTAACCAGTGTGGCTAGATGTCTGGGACACAATTGGGGTGAATGAGGACCCCATAGTGCTGTTTTCATATCCACAGGGGTCCAAGCAGCCACTGCTTTGCCTGTCCTTTTGCCTAACCTGAAGTGCAGTCTCTTGGACCACCCCCATCTGCACTCAGTGCAAGAGCTCTTCAGACCCACAGTGGCTCTAACTCCCAAATCATTGAAGAGGCCCAAGATGCAGATGTCTCGGGACTCGTTCCCCACAGACTGGAGCCCACCACCTGTGGAGTTCCTGAAAAAGAGCAAGCAGGTACTTCAGGCCCACAGGAGCCTGCCTGAGGACATGGAGAAGGAACACCCAGATTCAGATCAGAAGGTGGAGCTGGCCTCACTGGAGGAGCTTTTCTGGAACATGGCGGGTCCAAGCCAGCAGGCTGTGACCCCAGAGGTGAGTAAGCCCATGAGCACTTTGGCTTCCCCTCCTTGCCCACTCCCTTTAATGACCCCTTTTAGTTTCCCATGAGCCAGTCCTTTCAGAGCACCCCTTCCATCGCCATGCTCCAACTCCCCTTGTGTACGCAGTGCCTCCTCACTAGCACCTCTGTCCCAGTTCTGGATCATATACTGTACTTCTCCCCGACCCGAGGGCTCTCCCAGCTGGGAGTGCAGGCCTCAAGCCAGGTCCCACTCCTCCCTGTGTTTCCGCTTTTAGCCTTTGCTCCTGAAAGCCAGGGGGTAGCAGCAGATTCAGTGCCATTTGTGCATGGGGCTCCTCAAGGCTTTTTGTCTTAAGGGTGAGGGGTTGGCTTGGAGCAAGAGGGACCTCATGTTAGGATCCCAGCTTGGTAGCACACAAAGACCATAACTGAGGTTCAATAATAGAGATCCTAAGTGAAGACTGAAGTGATGTCTTTGTAGGAAGAAAGAGCGTGGGACTTAAGGGCCCATGGGCTCAGGAACTTTATTCTAAGCATGGTGCTTCAATGATTTGCAATAGCCTAAGATTGTCAGTAGCCTAAGTGCCTGCCACTGGGAAACTATGAACTATGTTCTAGTCATATGTAAGAACACCGTGACAGCCAGGTGTGGTGGTGCTCGCCTTTAATCACAGCACTTGGGAAGTGGAGGCAGGCGGATTTCTGTGAGTTCTGGTCTACAAAGCAAGTCCAGGACAGCCTGTTCCCAAAACCAAACAAAAAACCCTGACAATGATAGTTGAGCACATAGCACACACGCACACAGATGCACACACGCACACACAGACGCACACGCACACACGCATACACATAGCAAACCTGTGCACGCAGTGTATATTCGCACATTTGCACACATACATACACACCATCTCTTTGGCACTGGTATGAAATGACACTCAGGATGAATTTCTGATTGGAAAGAACAGTGCAGGTGAGGTGTGTGGCATACATGCCTGGGTTACAGGGACTGATGAGATCGCTACTTCGTCAGAAAGCACATAAGCACATTCACCTGCAGTTGCCTGTGGGCGGGCACTGGGAGAAAACCTTCACACTTTTGAATTTTAAAAAAATCATGTGATCATATCATCTGTTCAGAAAAGTGAGCAGAGTGCATTAATGTCCAGTTTCCTGTCTGTTTTTCCCTTCCTCATGCCTGTGTCCTGTCATTCCAGATTTCCTCTGGGGGTTCAGGATGCTATGTCAACAATTTAGATTACCTGCTGCAAGAGAAGAGGTGAGCAGGGGCTGAGCTTATGGGGGTGGGGTCATTTCAGTGAGGAATCAGAGTGACCCCTGTGGAGATGGGGCAGCCTTCCCAGCAGGTGGGGCCTGCCCTGTGTACTCTGACAGCCAGGTCTAAGAGGGGGTTCCAAAATGGAGGCTCTGGACCCTCTCCCACAGCAGGAGCACAGTCCCCACCCAGGTCCATCTTCCTCCCAGTCTCCACCCCTGTCCAGTTCATGCCACAGGCTGTCCCCTCCGAGGGACATGGACAAGAAGACAGCTGTGGTTCACCCGACTCTGGCCTGCCCCAACACTGAATCACCTTTGGCCGGTTTTCCTCCTCGCTTTATCTGACCACACTCTGCCACCTTCCTGCCCCATAGCATAGCACATCTCCAAGAAGTGCGGCTCTGCGTGCCTGTTCCCCTCAGTTTCTGAAATTGATCAAAAGTACACTCTCTTAGCTGAGCAGCTGCTGTCAGACCACACTTGTCAGTCTCTTTTGAGTGACCTCTCAGGGAGGAGGCTGGCTGGCATGGAGGGCCCTTTGGAGTGGAGCTGTAGACCCCTCCTGTGCACAATAGATGTGTCATGCCGTGAGGTGGCCAGGAGCAGCTGCTCATGTGTGTGGCTTGTTTGCTGGCCTGCTGTTTGATGGTGTGTAAGCAGATTGTTCTCATGACCTAATTCTTGCCTCTGCCCCTTTCCGCCTGCCTGTGTGTGCACAGACTAAATGCAGGCTGAGCACAGGTGGAGCTCCTGCCTCCCCACTCCTGCTGGAAGCGCCCGTGCCCGCCTCCACAGGATCTTTTCTTAGAACACAGCCCTGCATTCATGCCCAAAGAGTGCGGTTAGATATACTCCTGGGGTGGACAGTTATTTCTCTGGCTTTATCAATGCTGCCTGCTCCAGTCACTCTACCGTCTTCTTCCATGGACTTTGGTTTTTAATATCTCAGAACTGTGGTTTGGGATGTGAGGCTGATGATGCCACTCTACTTCCCTGGAAACTTGTCTTGAATCTGGTATTTTCCATACGTGTCAAGTTGCTGAGAAAAGGCCCCAAATAGCTGGCTTGCCTCTGAACCTTGGAGAGGGAGGGATAATGTCTTATAAAGGCAGATAGGACAGGCCATGCTGCTCTGGGAAGGCTGGGACAGGAAATCTGGGCACTGACAGGAGGGATGTGGCTGGAGATAAAGCAGTGATGTAGTAAACCAGTTGGACACAACCACTGACTCATGGGAGCATCTTAACAGGCAGAAGTGTGGTTTTCTGTTTGTTATACAAAGTTCACATAGACTGTCCTGGAAGAATGGGTGAGAAAGTAGCAGAGCTGAGAGAGTGGATGCCTGGGGAGGGCTCCAGGCTCCTCATGGGGTCTGAGGCCTGAGTTGCTAGCTTCTAGGTTGTTTGGGGAATGAAGACTTAGACATGTGACATGAGTGGTACCAGTCATACAAGCTAGAAAACCATCAGGTATAGGGCCGGTATCAGGGTCTGAGGGTCTGCACGAGGGAGACTTTGGCAGGAGATAGGATTTTTCAGACTGAGGGTCTTTGGGTGCAGCCATAGGGAGACCCTAAGATGGGCCAAGTAGGGAGTGGGGATGCCCCAGATTTTTTCAGCAGCCTGTGGAAGCCAGGACAGGGTAGACTGTAGGATGTCTGGATGCCTACTAGAAGTGTTAGGGCAAGAGTAATGAAGGACTCCATCTCTTCTGTTGCTAGAACAGTACCTCTTGCTGGGAGGGTTATAAAGAGGCTATTTGGATCACAGTTCTGGGAGTTCAAGAGCATGGTGCTGGCATCTATACAGCTTCTACTGAGAGTTTTATATCTTGTTCTCCCCCACCCCCCACCCCGGTGGCAGGATGGAAGGGAATACAGGAAAAAATAGCATTTAAAAGCAACAGCGACAACAACATAGGGGCTGGAGAAATGGCTCAGTGGTTAGGAGCATTCATTGCTTTTCCGAAGGTCCTGAGATCAGTTTCCAGCACCCACATGGCAGCTCCCAACTGTCTGATGCCATCTTCTGGTGAGCAGTTGTGCATGCAGACAAAATACCCATAGACATAAAATAAATAAAAATAAATGTTTAAAAATTAGTATTCACCCATCCACTGAGAGCTCCATGTCAGAGCCCAGTGCCTCTTGATAGTCACTCTACCTCTTAGTGGCCTTTCTCTGAAAATTACATTTCCATATGAGTTTGAAAAGGACAGACCACATGCAAAGCATGGCAGGGAGTTGGGGCTCCAGCACGGTAATGGTGGGTGCACCAGGCTTTAGTGAAGGCCAGCCAAAGTGGAGAGGTTGGAGGGAATAAGGCACTCCTACTCACTGCATGACAAAGGGGCAAAGGATAGGGAGAGAAAGGGCTGATCTGGGATGGGAGGGAAGGCTCTGGTCTCTTGAGAGTAGAGAGGCAGCTGGTAAGTCGGGGCTGGCTAGGACCTAAGGGTACAGACTCCTCTCTTGTACTAAGCTCTGGGGTAATAGAGGAACAGATCCAGATCTGGGGACATTACAGAATGAATGACTGTCAACACAAGCTCCACAAGTAAAGATACTTAACATTGTGTGGCAAAAACTGTCTTCTTTCATCACTGCCCACTGGAGACAAAGCAGAACTCTGTTCCCCAGAAAGGAAATATCGGAGCCCTGGTTTAGGATACCAACAATGTGGCCTTGCACCTCCTAGGCATGCTGCGTTGGGAGGTTCCTGTAGCCTGGAGAGGGGTGGAGAGCAGGTAGTGGTGCTAGCGCTGGCTCAGGCTCTCATTTCCCCCGAAGACAACAGGCCCTGGAGCAGAAATGGGAGCAGCTGTTGCCGCAGGAACAGCCCAAGCTTGACTCCACTGAATGTGATGAAGATGACAGAGAAGCAGTTCTCACACCCGAGCAGAGGTAGGAGCAGGGCCTCTATGGGTATGGGCAGAGTTTCACCTAGCAATTTGTGCCACCTTCTCTTATGGCACTGTCATGCTTTGGTTCAGGAAATATCCAGACACCTGCTGCTGGCCTTCAGAGAGCGAGCAACCTTCTAAGACACAGAGATGATAAAACAGCCCAGTTATCAGCCAAGTTCATAGAACCCTGTCTCATGGGGAAGATCTATACAAACCACAGTCTTAACTGAAAACTGTCTTTGGAGGGAGATTATGCCCACATGAAAATTTTCTCATCTTCCCCTGACTGGGAGAAGGAAGATGGCCATAGTGCTATCCTCTAGCTTTGTTGGCTCAGATTTCACTGGGCTGAAGTTGGAGGAAGGGCTGAACTCCTCTACACCCCAAGGTCTCAGGTGCCTAGAAACTGCTATGGAGTCCATCTTTATAACATTCTGTTTTCCATGTGTGGTGGTTTAAATAAGATGGACCCATAGGCTCATATACTTGAATTGCTTAGTCACTGGGGAGTAGATTCTGAAAGGATTTTAGGATTAGAAGGTGTGGCCTTGCTGAAGGATATGTGTCATTAGGGATGGGCTTCAAGGTTTCAAAAGCCCATGACAGGCTCAGTCTATCTCTCAGCCCGTGCATCAGGATGTAACTCTGAGCTATTGCTCCAGCATCTGCCTGCATGCCACCATGCTCTACTCATGATGAAAATAGACTAAACCCTCTGAAACTCTAAGCAAACCCCCAATCAACTGCTTTATTTTATGAGTTGCTTTAGGCATGGTGTCTTGTCACAGCATTACAACAGTGACTAAGAGGAGTGGGGCATTGCTGTGACAGGCCTGGCCCTGCTGTCTTTGGGGGGGGGGGGAATATGGAAGAATTTGAGATTTTGGACTAGAAAAGTGGTCGGACACTTAAAGTGGGGCTTACTGAGTCATCCTTGTAGGAGCTTAGAAGACAGTGCAGCTGGAGTGATTTGAACTGGGGCCCAGCTCAAAAAGTTCCAGGTGGGAAGAATATTAGTGAGAGACCTACAAACTATTCTTGTGATATTTTGGCAGAGAATGTAGCTGCTGCTTCTCTGACGCTAAACTGGACATTTTTGGATCACTGGCACTGGCGGAGGAGAATTCAAGACAGCCTAGTATTGACTGTGTTGCTTGGTTATTAGTGTCCACACTTATATGGGTTAATAATGAAAAGGAGCAAGCTGAGCAAGGAGAAGTTTAAAATGTATAGTTTGAGAAGAAAAGGAGCATTGGAAAGTATAATAGATCTAAATCCAGTGCTCAAGAAGATAAAAGCCTGATGCTAAATGGAATAAAGGGAGCTGGGACCTCAAGGCAAGACCCCAACCAGCTGTGCTTCCACGGAAAGGAACTGAAGAAACGTTTAATCATTGAAGGAAACAACAGGAAGCAGGTGAAAACGTAATTGAATGAGGGGTTCAAGTTCCACCCCATCAAGCAGTAAACTTGGCAGCTTCAGCCATGGTGATTCTGGCTAAAGAGTCAAGTACACAAAAAAGAGGTTGCGGAATCTCCCTCCACTACTGAGGAAAGTCGCTGAGGCCAGGAGTGTGTCAGGGGTGTCCCTGCATGGAGGCCCAGAGAGACTATTGCATGAAGCTGTGAAGGTGAAGCCTGGATTGCCTTAGAGAACCCCAAGATGTTAGAGATGCCAGAGTCTTCGGTTACCTGATGAGGAGAGGTACAGACTGGGTGTGGAACCAGCACAAGAAAGGGAAGTAGGCTACAGTCAACAAAGCTGAAAGGAGTTGGAGATCTGAAGAGTGCTTTGACATGAGCCATGGAGATGCAGAGTTTGGAGTTCGCCCTGCTGGTTTTCAGTCTTGCTTTGGTGCATAGTTTCCTCACTATGCTCAGTATGCTCCTGTATTAGTCCATGTTTTCTAATGAATCACTAAACTTACAGAATGAATCTATATATGAACATATGCATATATGTGGGATTTATTGGAGTGACTTACAGCTTGCATTCCAGCTAATCTAACAATGGCTAGCTATGAACAGAAAGTCCAAGAATCCAGTAGTTGCTCAGTCCCACAAGGCTGGGTATCTCAGCTGCTCCTCTGTATATGCT